AATTTAGTGCTTAAAACAGCAGTCATTATTATTTTAAAATTCTGTAGATGAACAGACCTGTCCAAAACACGTCTCATAGGACTAAGATCAAGGTGTCTGCCAGGCTGTGTTCCTGATTGGAGGGTCTTAAGGAGAATCTACTTCTAGGCTTCCCATGTGGTTGGCGGACTTCAGTTCCATGTACCTGCAGGACTGAGGCCTCTGTTTTCTTGTTGGGTTTCAATCAGGGGTCATTCTCAGCTTCTAGAGACTTTCTGCATTCCCTGGCTTAAAACTCCTTTTGTCTTCAAAACCACCAATGATGAGTCCAGTCCTTCTCATGCTTTAAAACTCTCTGATTTCCCATTGCCTCATCTTTTTTTTTTTTTTTAAGATTTTATTTATTTATGAGAGAGAGAGAGAGAGAGAGAGAGAGAGCACAGGCAGACAGAATGGCAGGCAGAGGCAGAGGGAGAAGCAGGCTCCCTGCAGAGCAAGGAGCCCGATGCGGGACTCGATCCCAGGACGCTGGGATCATGACCTGAGCCGAAGGCAGCTGCTTAACCAACTGAGCCACCCAGGCGTCCCCCATTGCCTCATCTTACCCACTTGACTCTTCCTCCTTCCTCTTTTGGCTTTTAAAGGCTCATAAGGATCACATTAGCACCACCTGGATAATCCAGCATAATCTGCATATTTTCAGACTAGCTGACTAATAGTCTTAATTATATCTGCAAAATCCCCTCACAGCGGTACCTAGATTAGTGTTTGACTGAATAATCAGGAGACAGAAATCTTAGGGAGACATTTTTAGAATTTTGCCCACCACTATTATATTTCCAATACCCTCTTTTATATTTTCAAACACACTTCCTCATTTTATATTCTGTATTTGACAATTAGAATATCTGTTGTCTGTACTTTGGATTGTCTCTTTTGTTTATGTGGCTCTTGAACAGTATATTTTATGTCTTGGCAGACTTCACAAATTTTGATTACAATTTCTCATGGAGATTTAACTTTAGTAATTCTTCGAGCCCCAGGTTGAAGAAGATGTTAAACCTTCTTTTGCCAGGTACTTAGGCACATTACCAGCCCAGGATTGTTTTAAAGTTTGAGATTAGGGTTTTTTTCCCCCCACATACACTGGTATTCAGACTTTAGGCCCATAACCCGCACAATTACGAATTCTCAAGGGAGATTTTACCCTTCTATCCAGTGCATAGACCAAAACATTAAGATCCTCTTGATGTTTCCCTTTGTAGGATGGGACTTTTTTCTCCTGGTTCACATTTTCTCAGAGAATAGTCCTTTGAGATCCTTATACTATGTAGTTTTCCACTCAACCCACAACTTGCTTGGATCCTCCTTTTGTCTTTCATCCGTTGTTCCCTGTGTGCCTGTTGAAAGAAAATTTTGAGATCTCTAGGGATTAGAAGTTGCCACTGCTAATCCTTGTTTAAGTGTCTGGATTCTTGCTGATGCTCCATCATCTTTTTCTTTTGAAGACTTACATTATTTTCTTACTGACACAGGAATGTATGTCATATAATATTTTTTATTATTTGGCTTTAAGATTTACTCCCCCCCAAAACTGCCTCTAGTATCTATACAAGCATACTATAAGTGAGAAAATCCCCTTTATTTCTTTTTTAAATGCTGTATCGTTTTTTCCTAGGCAAATGAAGATCCCCGTATTTGGAAAAAAACCTTTAATTTCTGCTTTAGTTATATGTTGTTTTACCATTTATCCTTGGGCTATTCTGGTCTTCACTTCTACAATGGGGTCCTGTGGTTTTGATATCTGCATTCCAAAACTTGCCTAGTAAATTTTTACTTTGATTAAATTGCTTCATTTCTGAGTAACATGGCTAATGGTATCCTACAGTAACAATTTTAACTTTTCCTTTTCAGATAATGTCAGAGTACTAAAACTGATCCAGTTTGTTTCGGTTTATTTTCTCATTATTAGTACAACCCTCCCCCTCCTAAAAGTAATAAAACAAAAACAAAAACATTTAATTTGCTAAAATCCACATAGTCAAGCAAAGACAGTCATTCGTTAACTAAATCAATAAAACTTTGAACAAAAGGATCACAAAGGTCCTTACCAATATATTTAGCCATGGCAGAGACAGAATAATACATCTAATAATAAATCTTTAAAATATAATACCATGTAGTACACATGTGAAGAAATAGTTAAGGCATTGGCATATTGTTTTAGTAATTTAAAATAGGATTTTAATAGGGTTAGTTAGTAGGGTTATTTAATAGGGTTAATTAGTGCCATTGGCTAAAAGTGTACTTCCCGACCTCCCAGGCTGAAAAGAAGAACAAAGCCTTGGATACCAAGTAAGGTGGAAAGAGTGCAGTCACTTGAAAAGAAGGAAGGCTGAATTCTAGAGATGCCGACATGTTCAGAGGCGGTTGAGGGTAGTGAAGGATACACATAAGCCAGTGGAGTCTTCCAAGCACTTGTATGAACAGACAGTAAATATGCACTTAGTGAAATTGCTACTATTATCTAGAAAGATCCAATCCTAAGTAAGATACTGGGATTTAAAGTGACAAAGATTTCTAGTTAAACTTTAAGTAAGGATCAGGATAATAACAAAAACACTATCTACCATAGAGTGGGAGGACAGAGGTTTGTTTGATCATCTGTTCAGATTCCCTTTTGGAAACTTTCAAAGACAATATACAACGTTCAAACTAAAGTAGTTTGAGAACTTTGATGTAAATAGGGCAAATGTGAAATGGATGACTTAAGTCATTTTTGATACAGCAACGAAACAGAAAGATGTAGCAAGAGAATGATATGGAGCACTTAAACAAATTTTGACTATTATTTTTCCTGTACTGACAGCTGTTGGAAGTAATTCATTAAAATGATTTAAGTTGAAATGCTTATATTATTTTCTTGAGAGCAAAACTTACTCATTCTAATTTGAAAAGTCATTTCATTTTTCATAATTAAAATGTATTCATCACATAATATAATTAAGCAGTGATAAATTGAATGATGGAAAAAAGCCAAAAAGAAATACTATTGATCATAAGTAAATGTGCAACATATGATAAGGAAAGAAACAAGTGAACAGAGGGAACTTAGAAGATATACATAAAGAAGCACTGTATTTTAAGGTTTAAATGGACTTTTTAAAAAATGATAAATTTTGCACTAATTAATAAACAAATAATGGACAATCTATCATATAGTTTTTTAAAGAAATGTCTTCCTTTTTAAGAGACTTTTTATTATATTTTATTTTTAAGAACAACTTTATAAATACTATCCTTTGCAAAAAAACCCAAACCAGGCCTGATTATTTCTGCAAAGTTTAAAAATACCAAAGGTATTTTCTTGTTCTGTCTTCCTTTTTATTTTTAGTGTGAGAATTGTTATGCTTTAACTTCTCCCTCTTTTCCTGACTGCGCATGCAATATTTTGTTTTTGATTGTCATTTTTCTCCCTGTAAGTCTGATTTTGGAATGTCAATAGATCTCATTCCTCTTCACATCCTGAGTATTAGGAGACTAGTCTCTTCCCACTGTTGTTTGAATGTTCAGATCTCTTTTCCTTTCCTTTTTGTTTGCCCATGAATAATTTATTTTTTCTTTTGTAAATTTTTATTCTTATTTTCTATCTGCTATTTCACCTCAATGTTGGTAATAATGGAGTTACATGACTTTTCTTGTCTCTATACATAGTGATAATTCATTTAAATTTCTGAATCTCCTTTTTTTTTTTTAAAGATTTTATTTATTTATTTGACAGAGAGAGATCACAAGTAGGCAGAAAGGCAGGCAGAGAGAGCGGGGAAGCACGCTCCCTGCTGAGCAGAGAGCCCGACATGGGGCTCGATCTCAGGACCCTGAGATCATGACCCGAGCCGAAGGCAGAGGCTTAACCCTCTGAGCTACTCAGGTGCCCCTGAATCTCCTCTTTTTACATATGACACTATGTATTTCTATTTTTTAATTTTTTAAAATTTATTTATTTTTTATTTTTTGAGGGGGGGCCAGCAGTAAAGGGAGAGGGAGAGAGAATCTTAAGGAAGCTCCAGGCCCAGCGTAGAGCCTGCCATGGGGCTCGATCTCACGTCTCTGAGACTATGACATGAGTTGAAACTGAGTTAGATGCTTAACTGAATGAGTCACTCGGATGCCCCTGACTTTATATATTTCTGAAGTAAGATAAATACTTAAGCAAAACTGTTATACATATACATAAATGTGTTAATAGTTTTATAGTGTTTAGCTTTCTTTTATAACTATACTGTGTTAACGGTGAAAATCATAGCAAGCATTATTCATAGCTCTACAAAATGCATTTCTTAGTGCATTGAAATATTAAAGATGTGAATTATATTAATCTAACATAGGGCCAAGTAGAAATTAATTCTTATCCATGAGTTTTCTTTTGTTTAGTGGATTCAACTATAATTTTGAAACTACTAATTCAATTTCAATTTTCATACTATATGCATACATCAAGAATAATCTGGTACTTTTTAAAATGAGAGAATGTGTATTTCAATCAGATTAAACCTTTTTTCTGCACCACCAGCTGGCCACAGTTTTGGGTTTTTCAACAAATTCCCTTCAACAACACTACAGAAATGATTTATCCAAGTACCTAATTAATCGGTATATTTTATTTCCTATTTCTATGGGAAGTTTCTAAAATAATAAATTGATGTTTGAAATGCTACATCAAACCCAAACTGTAAAATGAAGCAAATCACCTAATCTCTTTGAAGGTCATGTAATAGATTACTCTTATGTTGAAGTAGGATGCATATGGTCCATGAGCAAAATCTCAGCTGTGGGCTTCTTGGTAAAGGCATGTAGATGCTCTTTGGTTGCATCTCAAAGGGATTGTGAACTCTGGGTTATGACATCAGGTTTTGTGTGTTTCCTGGAACCACAGTAGTGACATAATGACTAACTTAGATGTGTCATCAATTTTCCAATGCCAAGTCTGCAGTGAATTCTCAATGATTCTCAAAACTCACCGTACAATAGTCAGTCATAGGATTCATGCTTGTCATGGCATAGTCTCATTACTGATTGGTGGAGCCCAGGAAGGGTAAGTAGAGAGGTCAAACATAGCCCCAATCCAGGTAGACATGCCCAGCATTACCACAGCAACACCCACAATGTTAACACCAAGTCCAGCTTTAACCTTGAACAGGAAAAGCATAAATATCAGTTTTCTGAAGAGAAAACCTATAGGAGAATCAGAATACTATAGCAGAAATTATATGTCAGATTTATATGCATCATAAATGACTAGTATAAATTGTCATTTCATGAAACAATGAGTTCTTCCATTCATGTCAAAAGAGACTCTGTCCCCAACTAAATGACATTTAGTTGGAGATTCTAGGAGGTCCCTCTTAGGAATATAATGGAGTCATTATGATACAAAAAAAAAAAAAAATCCCTTTAAAAATTTGTCATTGCATGTTAAATCCGAATATGAGTTTTGAGGTCTTGTATTTCAGTGGATAAGGTTCAGGTCACTATATGATAACTGGATCCTTCATATTCACTCAATACTATTATTAGTTTAGCCTTCAGTATTCTCTTACTGAGATTTAATAAAATGCCACTTCTATTCATCTTCCTTAGAGTTCTCATTTTTCTGGTTCTTATATCATCATCCTGGCATCCACTAAAAATTTCAAATTTGCTTTCTATCCATTAAAACAGAGGTCAGCAAACTACTGCTCATGACATGTTTTGGTAAATTAAGTTTTATGCCACCACACCCATGGTGATTCCATATTGTTGTTGGCTGTATTCGTGATACAATAGCAGAACTGAGTCGTTGTGACAGAGAGCATATGGCCCAGAGTGTCAAATATTTATTATCTCTTTCCAGAGAAAGCTTGCTTATCTCCGCATTCTCTGTATTAAAACATGGAGCCCCAAAGCAAAAGGGGATACTTAGCAATGATTATTACAGAGGCCCCCTTTACTATCCACGTAAGCCACTCATTTATTCTGGAATCCTGGCTCTACTTTTTTAAGTTCACATACACTGGACACTGGTTATATTATCTTATGCACAACTTCTTTTTCAAAAGGATATTATGTGACTTCTGCATAGAGACCTTTCCAGAGTTTTCACATTGCAGGGGGGTGGGGACAGCATTGTGTGTGGAAGGAGAGAACTGGGACTTACTTGGAACTGCAATTGCATGTAAGCTCACTGAATTTACTTCGTTATATTCTTGTTTGGTTTGGAAGTTGGTAATCAAGATTGGTGATAGACTAGACTATTCTCAAGCTAGTCCTGGACTACCACGACTTTTGTATTGGCAAAAATGCCTATGTTTTATCACTTAAATGTCCCATTATTTAGGTGCCACTATTAGAATCAAAACAAGAAAGATGAGCTTTCATTGACAGGTACTGAGTCCGGTGTATTGTTTGAAGCAAGTATTGGTTGCAAAATATTTGTGACAGGGAACCAAAGTGCATGATTGCTGAATTTCATTAATCCTATTTCTTCCTTTTGCCTATGTCAAACTGGATCCTGATCTTGACATGTAAGTTTCAAGCCATTGTGCTAAACATATTCTATGCTCTTTTCATTTTTTAGGACATTACTGACGCATTCAGTATCGCTATATTTGTGACTGCAAATTCAAATGGCAAGTTTGCTTCTGGTTATCATTCTTAAAAACAATTCTGAGACCAATCATGTACTCACCTTTAGAAGCAGAACTCAAGCCAGGCTTTTCCTGGCAGCTGATTAATGTGTAAAAGGATTGATAACCCAAGACATCACACATAAAAATGTCTACTGGACCGGACTGCTATCTTTCAGCTCACTCACCATATCAATAACTTTTAGATGGCCATAGGAAAAAACAATAGCATTGGGCGGATTTGCTACTGGAAGGAGGAATGCAAATGAAGTACACAGAGTAGAAGGTAACAAAATATAAAGAGGGTTCACTTGAATGGTTTCAGCCTGTTGGAAAAGATAAAAAGGAGTCTAAGTAAAATTTTGAGGTAGACACCAAATATCAAAATGAACAAAATCATTATGATAAGCTTTCCCAGAGGCAGGTTAAAATCTAAACATAATACTGTACACACAAATGCAGTTATGACTTGAAGAGTATTTTTCAGAAATGTCTCTTCCTCTTATTTTTTTATATGGTTATTGGTGCCCATTTAAGTAGTATAGCTCATTTAGAAAATAAAGTATCATTTATTCCAGGAACTAAATAAAAACAGAAATAATTTATTATTTATCTAGTGCTAGGTGCTCTCTGTGTGTGTGCATTTATGTAAAGTAACTGAATTTTCCCAATGACCCATAAGATGGCTACTATAGCCCCAAATAACAGACGAAGAAACTAAGGCCCACAAAAGCTAAAGTAACTTATCCAAACACAAAGCTGGCAAGCAGGAACACTTATGAAGGGTCGTGGGTCCCTCTGGCTCCAAAGCTTCTCATTATTCCATTAACTTTTCTGCCTCTGTGCCATATAAAATTTAAAATTGGCTTAGGGATCATCACAGAAGAAGAATTACTACTATTCTTAATTTATCACATTATTTTCTAACTGTGCCATGTTGAGAAGTAAAATGATATTTTACCCATATAAACTGTCTACATTTCTTCTCTAACATGAAGCAGCAGCTCAAGAATGCTAACATATTCCCCTTGAGCTATAGAGGAACAATTCCAGAAGGGCAATCCTTCTTAATTTAAAGTGCTATCCGCTCACCACACTCAGGTGTCCCAATAAGAAAAACATTTTACCTCAGCTATTTCTTGTAATTGCTAGCTAGGTGGGGAGAAAAAAGGAAGATTGTCTTTTCCTCTCTCTCCTTACAAATCCGCTTTTCACTTATCTTTTAAAATTATTTCCTGGGCTGTAGAAAACTGTGTCTAAGATATTTAACCTTAAAGCCTGAAATGTAAGCCTAGCTCTTCATTCACTTGCAAATCATTTATATGAACCACTTTACAGAAATTGAGGAATAATCTGGAGGGGGAAGTGTCAGTGTTAGAGATCTAAATACTGAAGTTGCCGGGAAACATGGACTCCCAAAGTCTTACAGTTGGAAAGGATCTAGGCTGACCCTCCCACTGTGTGCAAATGAAAAATCTGGGCAGAGAGAAAGGAAGTGGTTCTCTTAAGATCCTGCTGCTTGAATGTGGAAGAAAAGAGTTCTCCTGAGTTAGGCTTCCTAAAAATGTATTAATGCAAATAAAGATCACTCTGTAAGTTACTTATAGGAAGATCATACATGCCAAAAATTGATTCTATACCACAATATGAAAACCACCAAAGTAGAACACTACTCTTTGGATGAGTATAAAAGCAGATGAATGAGATACTCACCAATGGAGATAATATAGGGAGAAGAAGGGTAATGGTAGCTGGATTGCTGGCTACCTCTGTTAAAGATGTGACAAGCAAAGAAGATATCAGAATTATTAGCCATACTGGTAAGGAGCCTAGAGGAGATAATTTATTTCCTATCCACTTAGATAGTCCTGACTCCTAAAAAAAGAAAAAAAAATTGCAATATTATTCATTAGCAATTCATTTTAAGCAGACACAATTTAAATGTATAAATTCTATCACTTGCTCTAAGAAATCCATTTCTAAAGTTGAAGTTTAATCTTCCATATTTTTTCATGTTTTGGAAGATCTAGGTAGCTTTGACATGGAAGAGCTCTCAATTATTCTTATTTTAATATTACTGACATGCTTTAGGAAATTTGAATTGTCTTCCCACATTTTTTCAATTAAATTTTATCTAATTAATATATATGGATATTTTGGCAAGTCATTTGGTACTATAGGGCTTTAGGAAAATGGCAGTCTTCTGGTCTACCTCTCACATCTCCTAAGTTGTGTTCTCCAGAGGCAACTTTCAACCTCTATTAGCTATTTATGGCTACTTTTTAAATTATGCCTTTTCCTCATTTTCAAATTTAGACATTATTTACTAACTAACATGTTACATAAGGATTTAGCTTTCTTACGCCATCTACCATACATATATTTCCTGTCCCTTTATTTCTTTTACTTATATATCAACATTTTTCATTAAATCAATGTTTAAAATTTGCCATTATGAGTATATGAATATTACTCATACCTGAGTCACTTAGTGTACTGTGATTATGCTAAAACTATGTTAAAGGGCATTTAAGAGACAGGGAATTACAAAGAGGTGAATGCTTTAGTAGCTAGCGGCTATCTTCTCCCAAACAGAAGAGTTATCTAGTTCTGGCCATTTGCCAAACTAATTACAGTTTGAAACAAAATTTTAGAAGAGTAAATGTCTCCAAATCTTTGTAACATATTTTTGAAGCTCATGGCTTCAGTATACCTACTCAAGGGTAGGGTTATTCTAGATATTCCATAGAAATTCAATTCTATGTATTAGGAACTTCAAGACTCCCCTCCAGGGTTTCCCTAGTTCTGCCGGTGAGAGAGCCTAGTGCATCAGAAGTCTGTGACTTCTCATTTTCTTAGATTTTGCAATTCTAGGGTCTGGCCAATGCTTTTAAAAACCCTTTGAGTATCTAGAGTCCAATTCAGACAGAAATTCTGGGAAGCAGAGATGGACAAATTTCATATTAAGGTCAGAATTGCTGATTCTTATTCCCTCACAATTCAAATGATCAGTCAAAAGAATGGAAGTTATTGATTCTCAGAAACCAGATCTCATTCTTGCTGTAATAGTAGAAGAGTGTATTTGCCTTATATATCTATCATTTACATTTGAGTGGTCTATGAGGCAAGCCAAATCTGATGTAAAACAACATTGTAAGTGGCACTCAGAATGGAGACAATTTCAAAGATTTTCACCCCTTACTAAATCGTATAGCTGAGAGCTCAGTGTCCAAATACCATACAGAAAAAAATGACAATGAAGTCAGAAGCAAAAAAGTCTCCCAATAGGCTATTAAGAAGATAGTGGATAGTTATTTGTCTTGAGAAAACTAAAAAATTAACTTTCCAGAAACTAAAAGCCTGGACCACAACACCTCTCTCTCACTATCCTTTTTACTTCAATGACTGAATAAGGAAATGGAACAGCTATGAGCTTTAAGTGTTTCACAGAAGGCTTTGAAATACAGAAATGAGAGATTTTTAATGAGTCAAAGAGTAAAAAATTTTCATGGACTTTTTGAGAAGATACTTTTCTTCTAAAGAGTCCTACAATGACTTTCAAGTGACAAAGGCCTCCCTAGACTTGACATTTTTATAAACTGGATAGAGGATAAGCCAAAGAAATAGCAACTTTATTCCTCACGGTTGTTTTATTTCTTCCTAAAATTGGATATAATATAATATTAGCCATAGTTATGTAAAATTCTCTCTGGACTTCATTCAATAAACATGTACAAAGTACCCTTAATGTACTTAATATGCAACAGAGGGTTTGTTTTTTTTTTTTTTCCCCCTTGGTATTTGACAGAGAGAGAGACAGTAAGAGGGGGAACAAGCATGGGGAGTGGGAGAGGAAGAAGCAGGCTTCCTGCTGGGCAGGGAGCCTGATATGGAGCTTGAACCCAGGACCCCGGGATCATGACCTGAGCCAAAGGCAGACACTTAATGACTGAGCCACCCAGTGGCTAAGATTAAGCCACCTCAATATGTAATAAATAAGTGAGTAATAAAGTGCTGTTTTTTCTTACTCTCTTTCTTTGACAGCCTTAGGGCTATCCTATATTGAAGCAGACCTATTGAGTAGGTCTGTGACCTACTCAAATTCATCATGAAAGGGGCGCCTGGGTGGCTCAGTGGGTTAAAGCCTCTGCCTTCGGCTCAGGTCATGGTCCCAGGGTCCTGGGATAGAGCCCTGCATTGGGCTCTCTGCTCAGCAGGGAGCCGGCTTCCACCTCTCTCTCTCTCTCTCTCTCTCTCTCTGCCTGTCTCCCTGCTTACTTGTGATCTCTGCCTGTCAAATGAATAAATAAAATCTTTAAAAAAAAAATCACCATGAAATAAGGATAAAGTTATGAACAAAATGTTTTGCTAGGAATCATTGTACGTATGACTTTTATATCTTTTTTCTTACTTAGCTAATTTTCTAATACTATTTTATGGAATAAGAATTCTAATGCTCTAATCTTTGGGGCATCTGGGTGTCTCAGTCAGTTAACAGTCTGACTCTTGATTTTGGCTCCGGTCATGATCTTAGGGTTGGGCTCTGCACTCAGCATATTGCTACTTGAGAATCTCTCTCTCCCTCTCTGTTCCTCCTGGCCTACCCCACGCTTACTTTCTCTCTGTCTCTTAAAAAACAGTGTGAGAATTCTAATCTTCTTTGCTTTATTCCTTTTGCCATATTGGGGCAGCATTAAAAAAATGATATTTTATGCCTACAGCCTGTAAAAATTATTAAACTCACTTCATCTGTGTAGTATAATTAATGCATGGCTATTGAAATCTGCATCATTAAAATGATAGGCTAAAGTTGAATATGCCAACACTTGAATATATCCTGTTCTTTTGAAAAGTCTAGTTAATTGTTAAATGTCTTAGGCACAGAGTATTACCTCACAGCCATCTGCCAAGGCAAACCCTCCACCAACAAGAATGGCTATATCCCAGGGCATGAATGACTGGAATTCTTTCCAAGTAATCAGTGGTGAATAATCAAAAGCAACTGCAAAAACACAAGCCCTGTAGTTTATACATTGCTTAAAATATGACAATATGACATTTTTCTCTATTATCCTAAATCACCATCTCACAAGAATTTTTTAATATTCCTATATTGTTTATAGACAGGGAACTTGATTTAGACTTTGAGTAATTTCTACTGGGCTGAGGTGGAACACTGCATTACAAAAATGTTTTTAAAAATGTCATAACTTGGAAAAATTCATTGGATCATAAAATAGAGTAAATTTAGATAGATTATAACATTGTCATTTATAATGCCACTCATTCATTCATTCAAGCATTCATTCACTCATTCATTCATTTCATTCATTGCACTAACATCTTTGCCTCCCTCGGGCAACGCAGTGTGTCGGACTATACTATTTTTTGCTATGCATAATGTAATGTGTCATTGGTTCTAATATCAGTATAATATTATAATTTTATTCACTAATATTTACTTGAATATTGCTTTTTTTCCCAAATCATGAGGAGGGTCATAAAAGATTCATCAGGATTTCAGTTTAAAATCAAAGTTCAGATAAAATAATTTAAGTATCATTCATAAAACTCTTAAAATTCTTATAAAGCAATTATCATAAAGATTTCTCTAGACAGTTGGGTCATAATGGCTCATTTGATTTATTGAGAAGAAAGGCCATGCACGAATATATTATTCCCACTGAACATTTGTGTGTAACAAGCAGCCTTTTACATGGTATGATTTTAGGGTTACTAATAAGATTTTTTCCTATTTCCTTCCCCCAAACCTAAGCCAAACCTACAATCACCATTGTTGGAAATTTGCTATTTCTTTCTTGAATTAAGGCATATATCCAGTTAAAATGCAAACATTTCTGAAATCTACCTCTCATGTAAAATTTAACACATAATGTCTTATTTTTCATTTTTAAACCTAGTGTGGATGAGTTTATCAGGAAGGATAGGAGTTGAAGAATGAGAAGAGAGAGAATAGTGGATAGGTGTATGGGGTCCAAGTGCAGGCTGCCCCAAGATGGGCCACTTTGGCATGAACATTATTGTGAATTAAAAGCAATCAAAACCCAGAAGATTCAGAAAAAGCTCTTGGCCTACCCCTCAACTACCTGCTTGTACCAGGAAGAGAGAGGGATTAATAAAGATTCCTCTTTACCTAAGAAACTTAACTGCATAATTAGGCACCCTTTGTTTTCCAAATGTCTCCTTTTGCCTTCCCACTAATGGTCTTTCTTCTCTTTGTATCCTCAGACCCTTATCCCTCTTCTTAGCTCATATAAGAGTGATATTGCTTCATTGTCTTTGGAATTTCCATGTCTGGTGGATTCCCTGTATGTACACTACTATATTTGACTTTCTACCATTAATCTGTTTTATGTCAACTTGATTCTTAGTCCAGCAAGAAGGATCTTGAAGGGCAAAGAAAATTCTTTCTCCCCAACAAAAGCAAAGTTCTTTCTGACAGGGGGATTCAGATGTGGGAGCCAGGAAATTTAAGCCAAGCATTGGTTCTTCAACACTTGCCATTGACAGGCCTTAGTGCTTTGACTGCAATGGTCAAGGTCCTCAGAGTCTCATAGAAATTATTTCTCTGTACTTTTATATCTCCTTATAACATACTTTGAGATATCCTAATTTCAATTAATGAACAAACGGCATTTATATCAATGTTATGTTATTTACATATGTCATGTCCTAGATATCTGACTCATTAGTCACTTATCAATTTGGACTCAGGAAGTCAGGTGTGCCAACCCAACTGCATGAATACCAGTTCCATCCAAGTGAAAAAAGGAGGAAAAGAGAGAAATAAAAGAAAACCCAACAATAAAAATCCCCCACAACTCTACTAGACTATTTCTAAACAATTTTAAACTATTTGTCCCACAATAACAGCATAGGAATCTGACTACCCAAAACAAGCTGTATTAGTATAAAGCACAGATATGAATGAATCCTGTTTTAAAATTTGTGTGTGTTAGGAGAAGGAGGGTATGTTAACATAAACATACTTTTTTGTCCATGTATTACAAAGACAAGGAATGCTCCCCCTGAATACCTTGTCTTTCATTTGTGACACTAGGTTCTGGCTAAGTGTGGGCTTGATTTGCATTCTCTCCAGGATTACTATGAGGCTGTAAATGCTCTTTCCCTTGAAACTCCTCACCTTTTTAGATCCTCATCATTTATTACCAAGGGCTCATGATGAAGTGTGACTTCCAAGTTCTTGTTCCTATGTTTGCCAATAGTAAGATTAATTCTGATTATGGCAGGGAAAGTGGGCTTATTGTGGATCACATAGTGTCACTCAAAGTGGAATTCTAACCATGGTGCATAAAGAAATCTACTTCTCACTTCTGCCAAGGAAGATGATCCTTCTTGTAGGGGGAGGACATGTGCTAGTTGAATAAGGGTTGTATTGTGCACACAGGGCATCCTAAGCCAGGGGCTGTGTGAGCATGTCCATCCCTTCTGTTCTAAGCACTGACTGAAACCAACTGAATTTTGTAATTTTTGCTCTTCTGTCAAATTGATTCAGAATTATAAATAATACTCAACCAATTTCTCCTGTAGGTGTAGTTTTAGTCAATCTCTTAGCTGGGATAAGAAAGAATAGGATTCCTATAAGTAAGGCAACAGTTGAATCTGTAGCAAAACCAGGATACCTGAAAAAGGACAAATGAGTACATTAAAAAATGGCATCAAAATTTGTATGAACTGAACATCAATTGACTATGCTATTGGCCTACAAGTAGTAGTTATGATACAGGTTAGTTATTCTGGAAAATCTGTCCTAAAATCTATGGATTTCCAACCAAATTTCCAACCAAGCCAAAAATCTCAGACCATGTTCCCCTTGTTTCCATATATGTCTCCTTATTTTCAAAACCATGAATACATATACTGACATACTAACCCTATGTGGTAAATTTCTTTTTAGGTAAAGCTTAAGGATTTGTTAAACACTTTTTTCTTTGTATTATTTCTTTTCATTATACTGGCAGAGAACTGAGGCAAAAACAGTTACTAGACAAGGCAAAGCCCTAAAAAATTGTTGTGTAACATCCTACTATTGAATTGTGGCAAGGAAAGGGTGTTTCTGGAGTCCTCTAAAACTCTTCTCTAAATTATGAAAAGAAATTGATCTGTTTAAGATATAACATCTGCTACCGTGATTATAGGGCCCAGCCATATCATATAAATGAAATCAACCCATTTAATGCTTTGCACCCTATGAAACTCAATCAAGAATATTAATTATTAGAATGGTTTATGAGATGCTCATAAATGATTGCTATACAAATTAAGAGTGATTCAGGAACAGATGGGGTCTTAGAATCAACAGGCCATTCTAGCAAGTAAGACAGGCTCCCAGAAGCCTCAACAGTTAAGAAGCACCTGGAAACCAGCTATGATTGAAACAGACATAAATAATTAGAACTCAGTTTTAAGATTCAGGAATATTAACTAGAGTCTTTGTAGTCTGAGAAGCATGTGTACACCCTAGAGGTTATTTTGCTCCCTTGTAACTCAGTAATGTGTACATACTATAGATACTACTCTCTACTTCTGTGATTTACTTGAGCAGTCTAAATAATCAAGGAAGTGTATTATTTTATTCAATCTGACAACTTTATAAAGGAGTTTGTTTTCCTTAAATATGGATTTTATTTATTTTTTGCTGAGCAAAAAGCTATCTTGGTATAATTTATTCAACAAACTTAACCAATATTTATTATTTTATTGCTCCTTACTGCTTTTATTTGAGTTGTAATTTTTTTATGGTATTTTTGCCAAATTAGGTCAGGGATCATGTAATCTGATTTTGTTTTATATGAAAAGACACATTGAACTCAGTCCAGGTTCAAACAGATGGGATGAAAACATTAGGTGGTAGCTATAAATCTTGATATATCATTCTAGTTTTGAAATTCTAAATGCTTAGAATCTCTATATTACAAATATATTCTACAGAAGACACTTTAAATAAAATCAAGCCATAAATGCTGAAGTAATTTTGTTCCAAAGACTTTTAAAACCATAATTATTTTATTATTAGTTTATTTTCATTTTATTTTTAGTTTATTATGAACGAAGGCTGTCTCACTATTACAAAATATTAAGGTTACACAAATTTTATTTTCTCTGGCAATTTATGAATCAAAGTTGATCAGATTTGTATCCTCAAACCACTTCTCTTAAACCTTCGTTCCTTCTCCCATTGTTTTCTCTCAGAATTCTAGGTAACACAAGCACCCGCCTATAGCAAATATACTCTGTTCTGCTGCAAGCAAAATATCTCCTGAATTACACTTTCCTTCTGTAAGGAATAGAAATTAGAAACTGACTATATTGAATTTCCTACTGGGCTTTTTCCTGGTTTTTATTAGCTACTGTCTGATTTCATTCGTTTTTACACACTGGTGTTTAGAGAATGCTCTCCCTACCTAACATAATTGGAGTGGGATTTTAAAAAGGAAAATAATTACTTTACGTTGGTTTAGGACCTCTTACAAAACTAAAAAGTAACACTCAAACTGTTAAATGATAGTTGGCTATGAATAGTTTGCATTGAATACCTGGATGCTGTGTTTTATTTAGACTTTTCAAAGGGAAAAGTCCTACTTCCAAACAAAAAGTTGATCAACTGAAGCCAATCCTTTGAAACATGCAACCATATCGCATTGGTGCACTTGTGTGTTCACCAGGAATTTGCACATAGACTTTGCACTTTTAAAAAATGTTGGCAATGCCTACATAGCCATGAGGCCCTGGTTCAAGAAGAGAGGGAATTCTTTATTCCATGTAGGCAGAATACTTTGAACCCAAACAATTTTGGTTTCTGTCCCCACAAACATGGATTCTTGCTGTGGGATGTGAGACAGGAAGTCATCATCAGAGATCTACTCAATCTAGGAACTCCAGTACTTCAGTGAAAAATGGATTAACAATACAAATTTCAAAACCAAAGTATTTATATTGACATGTAGGATGGTCCTTAATTTAGAAAAATCACACTATCATCATCCCCCTCACTTTATATGACTCAGCATGACTGCTGGTCTAGAAGACACTGTGAGATAAAACTAACTCAACCCAGCTTCTAAGATTAGTTTGTACAATCAGTCTTATTCCTTACTCAGGAATTCCTTATTTACAAAGTAGGGGTAGGGATAGATTTATAGTGAACTAGTATAAAAATGAACATAATTAGAAAAAAAAACACAAGATAGTGAACTGAATAAAAAAATAAGTTGGCAAAAACCAAAGAACGTGAATCCGTATCAGGTTATTAACAAGGATGAAGTGGGATTTATCTCACATAATAAACATTTATATTACACTTAGGTAGGGAGAATGGCAGCACCATTATTAAGTGCCATATTCGCTTCATCTTACAGATGAAGAAACTGATTGGCCAATGACTTGCCCAAAGTGGAAGAGCCAACCCAAGCACAGAACACGGTTTTCTGATTGCATTCCTAATTTTGTAAGGATGGAAACAGCATTGTCTAAAGGAGCCTGACTTTTAGTTACAGTGTATATGATTGTCTTATCTGCAGTCCTACCCTGGATTTCATTCCTTACCATTTTCCTTCCTGGGAAGATTACAATTAAGCAAACTTTTCACTGGAAAGAAAGGAAAAGAATCCCATACAATCTTTCAGTGTTATAGGAACCACCGAGGAGAGAAACAGAATAAAACAGGAAGGGTTGACAATACGGAATGCTTACTTGGGAAAAAGTGCAGACCAACCAGAAATAAACCCAGGATCTCGGCTAAACCACAGCAGAGCCATTACAATGAAGAGCACCAAGGTCACAATTTCCTGATACCTGTGGGAAAATTCCAATCCTTTTGTTTATCTTCTCAGTCAGGATATTTGTACAAACTCCCTGAGCTACTGGCAGAGCAATCTTAGCAGAACACTAAACACTAAAAACCAGATGATTCTATGTCAGTAATTTGAGAGAATCTGCACAGCTAGAAAAAGACTTGACTCCTCTGTGGGTCTTTGGCTGCTTTTCATTCTATCTGGTAAATTTTAGTTAGACGAAAGTACGCATTTTGTTATGTTGAGTTATATCTACAACAGTCAGCATGTTCAAGGCCCTTACCAGGTGTTCTAAATACACTACAGATGATCATGTGCATGTTTAGCTTTAAACAGATACTTGCAGTATAAGCAGCGTGTATCCATGCGCGGGTGTGTTTGCCTGTACGCCTGTGTGCGTGTGTCTTACCTCAGTGGCCCAAGTTTTTGGTATTCTTGTTTAATCACCTCAGCACAAGCTTTTTGTTTGGCAGTTTTGGTCTTGCCACATTTGAACATCTCCTTAAAACTGAAAAGAATAACAGAGGCTGTTAAGCAAAGAAGTATCCCTTTATAGAAGAGATTTGTGTGAAAGCTTTATAAAATACTAACCTCCTTGCCAGTAACAGCAATCTGTGCATAATGCCTATACTTCCATCCCCTTCTTCAAATGTCCTCTCTCCTTTTTCCTGTTTGGACTGGTTTGCTCAATATTCAAGGGTTAATTTTTGTTCCATATTTTCACACCTCTTACCCTGATGTCTTCCAAGTCTGTTCGCACTACTGGAATTTTGCCACGTGTGGCTCATCTCCAATTGAACACTTTGCTATATACCTGATTGTTACAGATGTTCATTTCTTTATTGTCTATCTTGATAGTCAATTGCTACCCATGTGTAAGTTTTCTCTTGCTAGTTAGATAATGAATTACTGGAGGGCAGGGCAGAGTCCCCGATGTTTGCTCTGGCACAGTAACTCTCAACACGGGCACATACTAGAAATATGTGACTCATCAACTCCACAGTACCTTGCTCAGATTGAAGAGACAGCTGGTTGTCAGATCCATCAGTTTGCCCAGAATACACAGCACTCAAGCCACTAGGCAGAGTGGTCACTGGAGCAGAGAAGTCACGTACACTGCTCGTGAGCAGAGTCTACGCTAGATCTCTTAGAACGAAAACCAACTCTATTACATTTTTTTCTTTAATTTCTTCATCCCTTATGCCCTAATAGAATCCACTAGATAGTTTTCCATCTATTGTCAATACTAACTGCCAGTCTCTCTTTCTTTCAGAGGCTGCTTTCAGTTACACCTTTCCCTTGTGACTAACTTTTCTTTCCTGAAGTCCAGGGTCTTAAAAAAAAAAAAAAAAAAATTTTTTTTTTTTGGTATTTTTTTGGTATTCTTGGTTTTTTTGTGTTTTTTTGTGTGTGTGTGTGTGTGTGTGTGTGTGTGTGTGAAGTACTGCTCTAGGATTAGATTTTAAAAAATCCCTCCAGGGGAATAAACAAATGAGCAAATGGTTCAATTCTTATGTTCTATCTTTTGGAATGTCTATAAGTAGCTCATTCAGATTACTTTATGTGTGGGTAAGGAAGGCATTTCTGAGTGTATATCCTAAGGAACTGAAATCTGGATCTGAAGAGATAACTGCACTCACATGTCTACTGCAACATGATTCGCAGTAGCCAAGGTACGGAAACAACACAGATGCCCACTGACAAACAAGTGGATAAAGAAAAAGTGGCACAGAAAGAAAAGAAAAGGTAGTAAATACATACAATGGGCAATAACTCGGCCTTAAAGAAGCAGGAAATCCTGCCGTTTATAACAACACAGATGGACTTGGAGGACATTATGCTAAGTGACATAAACCAGACACAGGAAAACAAATATTGTAAGATCTTATACATAGAGTCTAAAATAATCAAACACATGAAAACAGAGAGTAAAACAGTTGTTTCCCAGGAAATGGAAGGAGATGGAAATGGGGAGGTGTTTATCAAAGAGTACAAAGTTCCAGTTATGAAAAATAAGCGAGTTCTGGAAATCTACTGCCTAAAATAAGGCCTGTGATTAACAACACTGTATTGTATACTTAAAAATTTACTCAGAGGGTTGGTCCTATGATAAGAGCTTTTACCATAAAAGGAAAAAAAAAACCCTCAAAAAGCAAAAGGGGCAAGAGGAAACTTGGAAGGTGATGGAAAAGTTGATGGCCTTGGTTGATGGCCATGGATGATGGTTCTTGAGTGTATATGTATCTCCAAACACATTAAGTTGTATACATTAAATATCTATGGCTTTTTGTATGCCAGTCATACATCAATAAAAGCAGTTTTAGAAAAAGAAAGAGTGCAGGATAATGCTGTCATGTAAAATTGCTGGACTAAACATGGATATATATGAGGGAGAAAATAGGAAGACCAAGATGGTATGAATGTAGCTATCCCACAAAGACATTTTGTTTACTTATTTTTTCTGTAGCTCTGCTACTCAGACTTGTTCAAAGGAACAGAGTTTCTCCAATTCTTAAGTCATCCATCCTACACATTCAAAATCATTCTCCTGTGCACACTCCAACCACTGAACATTAGATGGATGTTGTTATATTTAGGATCCTTGAAGTAATATTTAATTTTCATAATCTCAACTAAAATAATAGTGCCAGTCTTGAAATTTTACCCCTTGTCACAATATAAATACTAGTATTATAAGAAACTGAGCCATGGACTACTTTGAGATCCTACTGTAGAACAGAAAAGTAGAATTAAAAAAAAATAGGTGAGTCTTGGGGCACCTGGGTGGCTCAGTAGGTTTAGCATCTGACTCTTGGGTCATGATCTCAGAATCATGAGATCGAGCCCCATATTGGGCTCTGTGCTGCTTGTGGAGCCTGCTGAAGATTCTTTCTCTCCTGCTGCCCCTCCCCCTGCTCCTTCTTCCTCCTTAAAAAATGTTTTCCACCTGGTAGACTGCACATGTACCTGGTCTCTTTGGTTGGGGATGATAAATAGTTAAATCGAAAGCCATGCTGGCTTTGCTACAAATGAAGGTTAATGCCCTCACAAAGGAACCGATGAAGCATATGAAAACGCATCTAGCTCTTCATTTAAACAAGTTCAGTGGCACTGATAGATGAGCTTCTCCCTCCAGGTATGTTGGGGTCGTTTACAATGGGTGAGTTAACTGTGTTAACAGCCAACACACTAACCAGAATGTATGGCCGCCTGCCAGGGGAGTGGCTGATAATTTCTGTGTGTCGATCTAAAACCTCTGGAGGTGAAGACCCTGACTGGCTGAAATGGACACTGAAAAATTAGAGCGGGAAGCTGTGTAACCGATCTAACCGATCGCCCACACAAAGGGACTATTTAAGTATGCCACTGATCATGATTTATGGATTTACCTAATGTATGCACTTGGCAGGCTTTTTGATCTTATAGACAACACCTTTCAATCCATCTGCCCTTTATTTTCTTAATTTCTCCTTTATACATGGTGGGCCATTTCAAAATAATGACAATGGTTGCAGACATTTTTTATAAGTCATTATATGTGGTGACAAAGAAGGAAACCGCTACGGGTCTGTGACTGGATGCTCCCTCCCTTAGCTGGGATTCTTGTCCTTTGCATCCTGCATTGCTACCTGTGCAACTGAATAGACCCCCCGGAGGCCTGGATTTCCAGGAAGGGGCATTTAGTATGCAGCTGGCCTCTCCCCACTGATGCCCACCTGCCGAAGTCAGTGACATCCCACACATTTGCTTCAGCAGGAGGACTGCCACATGCTGCTCCCACAATCTGGACGAATGGATTTTTTTTTTTTTTTTAAATCATCAGTACCATCTTCCCACTACTAACAAGACTGTGGCAGTTTTGGAGAAAAACCAGGAAGAGGAATGGAGAGGGAAGAATACCAGTCCTTAAATGACTCGGCATGGAAAATTGGGGCCTGGGCATGGAATGCCACCTGCTCCCAGTGCTTTGCTTTTCTAAGGAAGTACATGTAGCTGACTTCAGTCTCACCTGCTTAGTAGATCTCCTGTTGTTTTGTTCATAGGTCCTTGAAATTATTTAACTAAAAGCCAATAAAGATGATTTTGAATTTGTTTTTTTCAGGAACAGATCCCCAGGGTTTGAGTGATAGTCATTTCCCCTTTCTTTTTAGAGTACTGTTATCCAAAAATATATAAAGGTGCATTTTAGATTTTGCTGTGGAGCCCTTCGTAATTTTAAATGCTGGCTGTCATTTATATCATTTAAGTAGCTCATCGGCACTTACGAGCTGCCTGCTTCTGTCTCAGCCAAGGTAATATTTGCAAATTCTCCTTGAATCCATATATCCAATGTTTTTCAGCTTGGACACATATGTATTCGAGTTACAGCACTGGAAGTGATCTGACTGATCTTCCAGTTAAATTCCATCATTTTACAGTTGAAAACACCAAGACTGAGAAAGACCACTCATTGTGAGAAGCTACAACTTTGTCCCTGGTCTTCTGATTCCTAATCCAACATTCTTCCCACAGGGCACACTCTCATGTCTTTATGTGATTTTTTTCAAGGACATACCAGTTTCGATGTAGGATGAAGCAAGAATCTTGCATGTTACAGTTTAAAGTAACTAGATAACCAGATGAAATTCCCACATACAACCAAGAGGAGGGGCAAAACCTCCTGAAATTCCACTTTAACAAGCTGGACTAGGTCCTTATTATAATAAGTTCCTTATGCCCTTCTGGCTGATTAATAAATTATTAGCTTAGGACTCAAAGGAGAATGAGATGGATTTGCTTTTTACAAACTCTGCTCCATAGCCCACATTGTTTAGATGATATTCTAGCTTATCCTTAAAATATGTGCTCATGTGTGGCAGTTTTGTGAGGAACAGAAATGCAGAAACTCCATGTGCGTGAAACAGGTCAAAGAGCAGTGGGTGAGCAGCTGAGAAGTGGGAACCAAAACACCTTTATTTATCTGATTAACATGCAATATTTACTTACTTGAATCCTAGGAAAAGCCACTGAAGCCAGATCCAGGACAATAACAGAATAATAATAGCAGCCGGGAAGGAAAGCATGAACCATGATCCAAAGTTAATGCAATGACAGTCAGGGTAGCGCCTGTGCAAAAAGACAGAAAAATGTGCTTGGGAGCGTACAAGTGTAATCCCTCCTGCCGGTCCTTGGGAAGCAACAGTTCACATCCTTCCAGGGGCTCCCAGCCAACAGGGAAGATGTGGGACCTTCTCATCATTAAGTATAGCGTTTGGCTTTACCTCTTACCTTTTGTCCTGATTCTGTAACTAATAATGGTTGCTGCTTCCCATCCACGCAAAAGTGAGTCTGCTGTGATTTTTATTCCTTTGTTCGATCTGTAAGGAAGAGCTTGGCAAAGCTAGCACAGTGCCCGACACTCACTGAATGCACCAGAAGCGGGAGTGCACGGGTATGCGTGCCTCTTGTCAGCTCTCAAAGTATCAGTATGTGAGTGGCGTGAGCCGAGCGGACATGGGAGCAGATGAAAATTAACTTCATGGACCTGAATGTTGGCTACCACTTCACAATGGTGGCTGGCACTGCAGGCACTTGGGAAGGGACTCTTTCCATCCATATTGTCTCCTATAGCTGTTTTCCTGCTGTTTCCTCTGCCTTGAAGAAACTGTAACCCATCTTACCAGGCATATGCTAGCCTTTTCTTCTTAGAATTAGACAGTGCTTTGAGGCTCAGTCAAATGGAACAAATCTGGACCAGATAAAAACAATTAAAAGTTTTTCTCCTAGTTATTTTCAGGTTTTTAGCCCACCTAATCACAAAACAATAACAAAAAAAGTGGGGGACGGTGGTCAGAGACAAATAGGTTTTTTCTGGTGACCTCACATTTATGTTTCCAAAATGTAGTATAAATTCCAAATAAATTCTCATATAGTTATCTATTTTATGACAGAAGAGGGAAAAACAGGAAACTTGAAAAACATTTGTCCTTGATTTTTTTCTTCACACAATGACACAAAGACAGAGCTGGAACTTTGGAAAGTTCAGAAAATACACAGAAGCAATAAAAACAACATTAACATATTTTAATTATTTTTGAAATTACAAAATATAAAGAAATTTATAGAAATGATAGATTTTAAATTCTTGTTCTATTTGAATTTACATTCAAATTTATTTTTGAATTTACATTTGAAAATCTATTTGAATTTACATTTACAATCAATGTAAATAAACAAAATGTTTCATGCTACATGTATCAACATAAGCCACATTTTTGTACTTTATAAATTGTTTCTCCTTCTATTTTAGGATGGTTGCTAAGTAATGCAAAGAGTTTTAAAAAATAATGGGTTTTTAAAACTCTAGATTTCTAATGTTTTCTACAAATTTTCTTGAGGTTATAAGAAGTTGTGGGTACTAGAGTTATCATTAGCAAGTTGAGGATGATTATTATCTACCACAAGAAGATCCAAAGCTTAGCTTACATATTATGCAATTAGAAATGACAAATGATGAATAAGATGTGCTTGAGAATACAGAGAATTGATGAATGGAAAAATGCTTTATCATGCCCATGAGCTTCTACTGAGAGTTGCTCACTTAAAAAAAAAAAAAAATGTTTGTTGTTTTCAGTTGGAAAATGCAATACGGAAGAAAGGCTTAAGCTTACTTCCCATCAAGTTATTAGACTTGGACTACAGGTTGATGACCTGTGTTACTCTGTTCAACCTAACGGTATTTAGAAATATTTAGAAATGTTTAGAAATTTTTAGAAAAATTTAGAAATGTTACTAAAAGTAGGGTCAAAACAGTACCCTAAGTCCAATTTCATTTTTCACCATCTGTGACTCACACCTTGAGATCAGGCTGTGTTGTTCTTTCCACCCAATCCTGTAAAATTTGTTTAACTGAAGAAGGGTTTCTTAGAATTTTTGCCTGGAGGAATAGTTCATTTAGAAAAATGAAAGCCTGAAAAAGCAAAATTCTGTTTTGTTTTTGTTTCTTTCTTTAGCAAGGATGTGACTACCACATAGGACAGTGGCCTCCATGATCATAATCTTTATACTTGTATCTGCGTGAATATTTCAAATGATAATGGAATGAACGGCATACTGTGAGGTATTAGTTTCACTGTTTTTTCCCCCACTTCCTCATACCCTGTATAAGTGAAGTTACTACAAGTATCTTCCTAAAGTAAATATAGAATTATTCCATCATGAACCATGTTAAGTACAATTAATTCTGATAGGATCTTTTCTTTCACCCAACAGTGTATTTTTGGATGTCTACCATGTATCAGGCACTCTTCTAGATACTGAGGATATAGTGGTGAATTAGATGGATGTGGCCCAGGCTCTCATAAAGTTTACTTTTAAATGAGGAGCACAGGCAGTAAATAGGTAAGCATAAAAAGAATCAGAAAATACAACAAAATAATATAATAGAAAGTTACTAGAACAAAGGAGAAATTTTAGAGTGTGGTTAAAGAGGATAATATTGGAAATGAGATCTAAATGGCAAGAAGGAATAGGTCATGTAAATAACTGGGAAACAGCATGCCAGAAGAAGTGGCAAGTACAAAGGCCCTGGGGTAGGCATAAGTGTAGAATGTTTGAGGATAAGAAGGCCAGTGTGGCTGTGGGTAGTGAGCTAAAGTTAGTGACTTGAAATAAATCTAAGAAGTAGCCAGTAGGGGTCAGATCATATAAAAACTTGTGGGCCATCAGAAGGAATTTGAATTTTGTACAAATGCAATTACAGGTAATTGGAACATAGTAAATAAGTTAGTGATATGATCTAATTTAAAGTCTACATAAATTTGTGATTTACATAAAACATACTGCTTAGATGGATCCTTAGGATTGAAGGCAACAAGAGCGGAAGCCAAGGGGTGACAGACAGAATTCCAAGATGACCCCTTAGATTTCTGCCCCTGGTATACATTTCTTGTATAATCCTCTCTCCTTCTGTGTGGGTAGAATTTGTGAATATGGTGAGATTTCATTTCTGTGATGAAGTTCTTTTATGGAAAAAGTGAAGGGACTTTGCAGCGGTCACCAAGGTCCCCATTATAATAGACTTTGAGTTATTTAAAAGGGAGAGTTGGATAAATCTGAGTTAATCAGGTGAGCCTTTAAATGGCAGCCTTTCCTGCTGGCCTAAAGAAGTGAGCTTTCATGTAGCCAGAGAAGGGGCTAAGTAACAAGGATCTAGGCATAGCCTCTAGAAGCTGAGGGTGACTCCCTGGGCAATAAAATGGGCACCTTGGTAATTCAACCACAGGTAACTGAATTCAACAACCCGAATGATCTTGGAATAGGGCACAGGCTTTCTGTGGAGATTTGAAGACCAGGTGCCACCTTGATTTCAGCCTGGTAAGATCCTAAGCAAGGGACTCAGATAAGCTTGGTCGAGAAATCCTGACCCACGGAAATTATGAGGTCATAAATTCATGCTGTTTTAAAGCCACTAAGTTAATGGTAATTTATAAAGCATTAATATAAAACAAATACACAAGGAGATTTATTAGAAGACGAAGTTTGGTAGAGGAGTGGGGGTAGAATAGAGTAGGAAGTAGAGTAAATTTTAGCTGAAGTCAGATCGGTAGCAGTGAAGATGAAGAGAGGACTATTGATTTTAAATATTTTGGGGACAAAATGTGGAGAAATGGGGGGCTAAGTGCCATTTATTGAAATGAAGTTTGAGGGAAGAACAGGTTGGAAGACTGGTAAGGGAGTGGTGGGTCAAAACACTGCAAAGGGCATGTTAATCTGAGATGTCCTTATATTTCCAAGTGGTCATGCTGGACAGGGAGTTAGATAAGTGAGTTTGGAATTGAGAGCAGACAGCAGGTTAGAGTTGTTACCAACAACTATAGGTAGTTACCAACATTGTAACTAGGTACATAGGTAGTTACCAACATTTGGTAGTTACCAACATTTGGTGATATTATAAACCACAGAAATGGGTGCAAAAATTTTAGGAGAAAATGGAGATAAGAGGAAAAGGGAGTGCACCCTGGGGCATCTAAGTTTTAGAGGTCAGGCAGAGGTTTAGGTATGAGCAGATGAGCTAAGCACATTTAATTTTAATGCTAACACAAATCCTGTGAGGAAAGCATTATATTTCCATTTTACACAGGAAGATACGAAGTCTCAGAAGGTTAAATGGATTGTTCAAGGTCACAGATTGTACAGTCAAGCGCAATTTTTACCCCAGGAGGAGTGTTTAAAATACAACGTCTTTTCATTAAAGCCCAGTGTCCTCAACTCTGGTCCCCAGATGAAAATAGAAAGTTCCATGTATATTGTGAAATATCCATAAGACAGGGTACAAAATATCCATAAGTCAGGTACAAAAAAAAGACATTTTAGAACACTATTGAAATGATTTCACCATACTCCAGACATGCTTTGACCTGAAGCATGTGGGCCCTGTCATTATTGAAGCTCAGGAAGATAGTCTTGTTAGAGTTCTTATGCCCAACAACAAAATGATGATAGCACTGATACTAATGAAATACTCAGAAGTGGCCTTAAAAGAATTTATGTAGTTGTGGAAATTTACAGATTTGAAATCAATCTTGGCCTTGAGAGCACTATAAGCTGTGTCCACACTGATTATAGTCCTTTTGATTAATGACTGCCTTGATTATTTCTGAGTCAAAGCCACTTTTCAGTTTTGTATTTGTGTATTTGCAGACGTTTCTTTTCAAATATTAACTACTTGTTGTTCATGAGCCAAGCTTATATTTTTAATAGCAATAGCAAAAACAGGATCAGCAGCAACAGCAGCTAGCGTTACTGACAATTTCCTAGGTGCCAGGTCCTCTCTCTAAGAGCCATGTGTGCATAATCCCATTTAATCCTCACAATAATAGTTCTAGTATTGCCCCATTTTGCAGATGAAGGAACTGATGTTCACAGAAGTTAAGCTAATAATTGGAAAGACTGAAATCTGAGCCAAGGTCTGAGTCCAAACTCTGCAATACTCAAATTTCTTCTATAGTATTTGCCAGAGAAATTATTTCTGAGAAATAATAATTGCTCATCTCTCCAGAGGAAAATCATGGTAACTTTTGAAGGTAGCTATTGCTAGGTAACTGGCTTACCTTCTCCCTGCATAA